CACATTTTGGGAGAACAGAAACTTCCCGATTCTCTGTTTTCCTCCATTCCATCTTGAGGTTTGTGCTAAAGGCAAATGGGGGAATAAGTGGCCAAATGTGCCAGGAAAGCGGTCCTCTAAAATCCACCCCACCCATGGCTACTGTCAACTGATCTCAAGCTATGCTGCCTCTCAACACCATGCCCAGATGTGTGCATGCACAACCTCCGGCCAAATCCACATTTTGTTTTTGTGATGCTAGATCGGTCCTTCCAAAGACAGCCTGCACACATGTGGCACGGTTAATGTGACCAAGGGCCAAGTGGAAAGACAGGACGCGACACAACACACACACAGCAAACTAGATGCCTGTGCCGCCCGGGTTGTGAGATTATTGTGGTGGGTGTGCTTTAATGCTTAAGGGAACAGTTCAAAATTTTCAGCGAGGTCCAGAAAGTTTCCATTTTTAAATGGGAACCAGTGAGTTGGGAGCAGCTGGCAGCCATTTCAATATCTCACCAGGCCCTCGAAATCCCTGACCAGTTGGGGAGACACTTAAATTTCCTCCTCCAAAGCTACTCAGGAGCAAGTCCAACAGATTCAGCAAAATCCATGCCATGGATATTTGATTTACCCAAATGTTATTCCACGGCAGTGTGGGACATTAAAATTTAAAGCTCCAAATCCTACCTACCCAGCATTTATGGGGTAACTTTGGGGGAGAAGCAAGCAAACTGTACTGAAAATGGGGAAGTTTTTTGGGGGGAGGCTGCATGCCCACACTGTTACTAGGCTATGGCTTAAAACAACTGAGCACAAGCCAAGATTATCTCAAAACAACCTAGCTCTGAACCACATTCAACTTCACTTCTCTTGCTTAAATCTTTGGGGACTAGTCTTATTGCACCATCAGTCAAAACCAACACCAAAACTAGCTTCACTATTCCACAGTTCAGGGGCAAACATGGTCCAGCCTTTCAGATGTTCCTGGACTGCAACTCCATCATCCATCCAAACCAGCAAAATTAATGACAAAGGCTAGGACTGCTGGGAGTGACATTCCAACCATATCAGAAAGGTCAAATGATTTACACTGGTGCTGCTTCAATTTCACAAGCTCTGAAACCATTTTGCCCCTTCATTCGCTTCAGATTTTACCAAATACAGAGCGTTTTGCTTTCGGAAAGAAATTAGGAATACATTGTCCCTGCATAGGTAAGCAACTCAGGGGCCCTTTTACATGACAGAGTTATAACACTAAATTCCAGTTTAACTGCCATCACTATAGATTCCTGGGATTTGCAGTTTAGGGAGGATTTTTTAAAGAATTCTCAAGCTGAGAGCTCTAGTCCCTCAGCAAACTACAAATCTCGGGATGCCACAGAAGGCATTTGCAGCAGTTAAAACTGAATTACTGAGCAATAAAACTGTGGCATGAAAGGGCCCCAGTTTATTACTGCAAAAATACTGAATGCGTCCAGTTTAACAACTTGCATCTCTCTCCTTTTCCACCGTTTTGACTTTTTAAGAAAACTTTTCTGACTTCTTCCACACAACTCAAGGATCCTGCACCATTTCAGATAAATTCCCCCTGCCACTTGCAAATATTATTATTTCACAAGCCTTCAAGCACGATTAGCTTCAAACTAACTTCACTGTCATTTTAAAAAATATATTTTCAGTGTGTGGGGGGAGGCAGGGAATAAACGTGATCCGCCACACACTTTTTGTTGGTATCCTTTTTAAACACAAATCAAAACAAACCACCAAAATCAGAAACCTTTTCTAATTTGTTGATTAATTCTTATTGAACTTCCAGCCCTGAAACAGACACACACACACCGCAGTACATTCTCAATCTGCAACTCAACCAAATCATGTTGCATGGTCCTTTTCAATTCCTTTTAAATAAAGCCCTGCCGAGAATGAAATTTTCAATCACTTTGTGGCACATTTTCCCTATTTAAAATTAGAGAATTTATTGCAGGAAGGTATTCAAACTAGCATGAAGCTCTAAGGCCACTGTTGCATTTCAACTCTCAGCAGAGCGTTGGGAGTTATAGTCCAATCGTATCAGAAGAGACACAGGATTCCCATTTCTGCTTTTGAGTAGGTTCCCTCATTACCATCCTGAAAAAGAAGAACTAGATTTTATTTGCCCATCCTCTACGCATACCCTTTTTAAAAAACCAAAACAAAATTAAGTCCTCTATAAAGTCCCACTTTAGATTGGGACAAATATTGATTAAACAGGAACGGGGGGAGCTGGGATTTCTGTATCATATCTGAGTCCTTGGCAAGAAACCAAATTACAGATCTAAGAGCCAGTCTGCTAACAAAAGTGCTGTAAAATTGTGGAATAAAAGGGAAAAAGGGGGGGGGGGAAAGATACCCAACCCATCTTAGACCTTCAAGATGTGCCCTGGATTCCACTCTCATTTGGCCCAAAGATATCCCAAATGCTCATTTTTTGGTTTAGAGGCTGATGCCACACTGTAGAATTAATGCAGTTTGACACCGCTTTGACTGTCATGGCTCCATCCTATGGAATCCTGGGATGTGTAGTGGCACCAGAGCTCTCTGACAGAAAAGGCTAAAGTATCTCACAAAACCACAAATCCCAGAATTCCCTACCATTCAGCCACGGCTGTTAAAGCGGTGTCAAACTGCATTAATTCTGTAGTGTAGATGCACCCACAGAATCTATACCAAGTCAGAAAAGAGTGCACAAGAAGGGATGGGAAACATGTGGATGTCTTTATCCCCAAATGCCCCTAAGAAGTGATAGGGGGAAATTTTGCCTCCATTTTTGGCCTCCCCCCCCCCCAAAAAAAATAAAATAAATAAAGGCATCAACCAAGGGCCTTTTTATGCTACAGGGGGATTTAGCTATGGATTTAGCTATCGAAAATCCCCTCCCAGGCCAAGTTGAACCATCACAACACCCAGCAGTTGCTCATCCCTACTTTAATGATAGTAATAAAAATTAATGCTTTCTCTCCCTCCGCAGACCCCAACCCAAAACCTTAGGGACCGGAAAGAGACAAAATAAATCCGCACCCTGTCCTCAAAACCGTGCGAGCGCTGTCATTTTCCATTACAGAATGTGCAGGTATAGAAATATTAAAGGAAACGAAAGGGAGAAATCAATAAGGAAAACTGCAATGAGAGTATTTTTAAAAATGAAGACAGAAAAACGGAACGACAGATCCCGAACTTTAGAATGCTACATTTAAAAGAAAGAAAGAAGAAAATTGCAGACCTCCCTCCCCCTGCCACTTTTTCACAGTACAAAGAGGAATGGACAGGTATAGAGAGAACAAGAAAAGGAGCCCATGCTTGAAACCAGGGATGGGCAAATGTGGAAGTTAGGGGGACACACCGTTTCTCCTAGGAGAATTTGGAGGGCCACCCCAATGCAAACATCCAAACTGTTTGCCTCTAAATGCCTTCCGGGGGGGATGTCGAGAGGCAATTTTACCATTTTGCAGCCTTTTTTTAACAACAGAAAATGAGTGGAAGTCACTTCCCATTTCAGAAAAGACCTCTCCTGCCTTTAAACTGTCCCAGGAGGGCTAAAAGTGTCACAAAATGCCCTCCACACACCCTAGAGGACATTTGAGGGTTTAAAAATTGATTTTTTTAAACAAAAATCTGGGTCACATAAACACTCCTAAGGGTCTTGGCGGTCCACGGACCGCACTTTCTTTAAATCTTCCTTCGATGAGAAAGGGAGACACGACCCATTTTATGAGGAAGAGGGGGGAAAAGCAAAATGTAATTCCCCCCCCCCCTTTTAAAGCAAAGCAAATCAATATATTATGTTGTATGTCAAAATCCATCCTGGGGTAGAAGAACCCAGTTCAAATAACTGGTACTTTCTTTTTAAACCTAAAAATTAAAAAAAAAATGAAACGAGAGGGAAGCCAGTGTTTAAAACAAAGATCAGGAAACGAACGTAGAAAGAAACCTTGGAAACCAGCCAACGTGAAAAGGGGGAGTTAATTCTGATCTCTTTTTTTTTTTCCTTTTCCTTTCTAGCTATTCAAATATAGCTTTTGTTTGAATGTCCAAAAAAGAAAAAGGGAGTGAGAAAGGAGGGAAGGAAAATGGAAGAATCGAACGGATGTGTGTACGCGGAGGAGGAAGAGTCATATGAGTTCCCCGACAAGGACCAAAGGAGTCGTCGTCGTAACCAGGTGCTGGTTGGCGTCCGCTTTAGCCATGCTGGCTTTCTGACGGCGTTTCGCCAACTTGGACTCCGACGGGGGCGAGAGCTGCATGGAGCGTGAGGTAGCTTTGATGATGATGGGTTGTTGAGTCTCCTCGGCGGCCGCCTCCTCGTCTTCCATCAGCTGGCGGTTGACAGCAATGGCTTCGGCGGCGAAGGACGTCAGCTCTTTGGCACTGCTATTCCTGCGGTGACAGAAATGAAGGTGAGTTTATTCCACCCGTGCATTCACCGACACCGTCTCTGGCTGCATCCACAATCCGTTTTGACACTGCTTTAACTGCCAAGACTCGAGGCTATGAAATTCAGAGAATTATAGTTTTGTGGGACATTTAGCCTTCTCTCTCAGAGCACCCTGGTGCCACAACAAACTACAGTTCCCAGAACTGCATAGCGTTGAGTCACGGTAGCTAAAGTGGTGTCAAACTGGATTATTTCGGCAGTGCAAACGGAACCTCTCTCATACGGGCATGGGGTACAATGCAGAGACGTTAAATTACTCTGCAACAGGGGCCTGGGCAATGAAAGTTTGTAAGGATTTCCACTCACCTTTGTAGGATGATAGGAGTCGGAAGGGTGTTGTCCGGAGCACACTGGGGGGACAAAAAAGGAACCAAAAGGGCAAGAATTACACCTCATGTCAGGTTCTCCTCTCCAAGGGCCTTTGCCCACTACAGAATTGGAGCAGTACAATTCCACTTCAACAACCAAGGCGGCATCCAGGCAGTTTTTTAAAGAAATGGTTCCTGGGGCCTGCAAATGCAGAATTAATGTGATACCGCCTGGAAGTGGCCCAGCATCGCATACTGGTTAGAGTGCTGGACTATGACTCTGGAGATCAGGGTTCGATTCTCCACTCGGCCATGAAACTCAGTGGGTGACCTTGGCAAATCACACTCTCTCAGCCTCAGAAATGGTAAACTTGTGAACAAATCTTGCCAAGAAAACTCCATGGTAAGTTTGCCATAAGTCAGAAATGACTTAAAGGCTCATAACAACACCTTAGATTTCTCAGCCGGACAATTCCAGCACCTCACCAAACTACAAATCCCCTCTCTAGTTGAAGGACACTCACCCCTTGCACCCAAGGGTGTTTCAGGACTTCAGCTGCGCTCAGGCGCTTCTTGGCGTCCCTCACAAGGAGTTTCGAAATGAGATCTTTGGCTCCGAAAGAAATGTGAGCCCAGTCTTTGTCCGGGAATTCATACTTCCCTTCCTGGATGCTTTCAAACAACATGTTCTGAAAGGGGAGAGATGGACAAAAGGCAGGTTAGGATCTAGCGATAGATCTATGCCCAGGAACTGGGGTACACCTGTATTCCTAATCCACAGATCAAGGCCTACGACGCACCTGGCAGGCGGGACATGCTTCGCCGCGGTCCCAGCCGCAGTCCGTCCCACAATGCCCCACAAAAGGAGGGTAGCCACTTAACATGATGTAGAGAATGACCCCCAAGCTCCACAAGTCGCACCGCTTGTCGTAGATGGAAGCTTCTTCGTTGAATGCTTCCACGACTTCCGGGGCCATGTATTCTGCCGAACCACACTGCATAGGAAGGAAGGAGGGAAGGAGAAGAGCAAAGGGCCCGTCAGAACCAAGGAACTCAACTTCCAAAGTATCAACAGCCATGTAAAGTTGAAGGCTTTCATGGCCGGCATCCATAGGTTCTCTTGTGGGTTTTACAGGCTGTGAAGCCGTGTTCCAGAAGAATATATTCCTGATGTTTTGCCTGCATCTGTGGCTGGCATCTTCAGACAAATGAAATCTCTGAAGATGCCAGCCACAGATGCAGGCAAAATGTCGGAAATACGTTCTTCTAGAACACGGCCTCACAGCCTGAAAAACCCACAAAACCCTATCAACAGCCAGTCTTTTGTGATGAGTGGAAACAAAAGAACTTTATTGAATAGACATGGATTGAAGTGCCCAGTTCAGCGTTTAAGTTGGTATTGATCAAACCCAGCCCCAACAACATGTTAAAATACTAAAATATCAAAAGCAAAACAAGCAAAAATGGGGGGGACCCCAGGCATACCATTTAATTCTATTTTAAGGTGTGGGTGGGTTAGGACATTGATGGATCTATGTATTGTGGAATTTTTAAATTGTAAGACTGCGTTGCAGAGGGGCGGGATAGAAATATTTATTATTATTATTATTATTATTATTATTATTATTTATTCTCTGTCTGGCCCAGGCAAACCCCCTTCCAAGGCCTTGGAGATGAAACCATGTCATCCCATCCTTCCTTCTAACCCACAGGGCTCTCTCATACCAGCCTATAAGTCTCCCAGCATGGAAACTAACAAAACCACCATCCCCAATATTCTAAACAGCCCATCCTATTTATGACAGAACCAGTAGGATCTGACAGGCCCATTAAGACACAGCGCAGGTTGTGGTTCCTTGGGGTAAATCTTTGCGGTGTGGTGTGTGCCTTGAAGTTATTTCCAACTTATGGCGACTTTAAGGGAACACTATCCTGGGGCTCTCTTGGCTAGTTTCTTCAGAGGGGATTTGCCACTGCCTTTTTGAGGTTGAGAGAGTGTGACTTGCCCAGGGTCACCCCCTGGGTTTTATGGGTGAGCAAGGACTCAAACCCTGCTCTCCAGAGTCATAGTCCAACCCTCAAGGCACATTGGCTCTCCCTTTGGTGAATCTACACTGTGGAAACAATACGGTTTGATACTACTTTAAGTACTGTCACTCCATCCTATGGAATCTTGGGATTTGTGGGAAATTTGGGATTTGTGGGCTGACTGCTGTCTGAAACAGGAGACAGGGTAAGACGGGCCAACTGTGATTACACCCAGCAAGACAATTCTGCTCTTTTGACATTTGCTTCTTCACCGCAGACACACACAGACTTGTGCACACACACACAACACCCCACAACCAAGGGTTCACCCAGCATAAATATAGCTATACCGCCCTCCACATACAAATTCTTTCCCATAAGCAATCGAGCCAAGGAAGGAAACCAGCCAGAGAGCTATCAAGAGACCCACCGTTTCCTGGAATGAAAGGGTCACAGAGTCAAAACCAGCCCCAGATTTTAAATGATAATAAGACTATTTCTCTAAAGATCGTAAGCTCTGGGATGTTGTTCCCCCCCCCCCCAGCTCCCAAGAAGAAACCGAAGCTTAAGATCTTTAGAGAAACGGTCTTATTATAGGCTGAATCTTCCTTATCCAAAATCCAAAATACTCCAAAATGGTCAACATGGGTGGCTGAGAGAGTGACACCTGTGCTTTCTGACGGTTCAGTGCATACCAATTTGGTTTCATACATCAATTTATTTAAAATATTATGTATAAAATTGCCTCCGGGCTTTGTGTATCAGGTGTATACGAAAACATAAATGAATTTCATGTTTAGCCTTGGGTCCCATTCCAAGATATCTCGTTGTTATGTGCCTTCAACCCTAAAGCAAACCTATCACAGGGTTTTCTTGGCAAGATTTGTTCAGAGGGAGATTGACCCCTTTCTCTGAGGCTGAGAGAGTGTGACTCACTCAAGGACACCCAGTGGGTTTCCATGATCAAGCTGGGATTCAAACCCTGGTCTCCAGAGTCATAGTCCAACACTCAAGCCACTATACCATGCTGGGCTCTCATCTTGTTATGGGCTCTCATCTTGTTATGTATATGCAAATAATCCTAAAAAGTCCAAAAGCCGAAACACATCTGAGAAGATAGTCTATATTAATGTTGGCTGAGATGCTACATCAATCCACACTGCAGAATTAAAGGAGTTTGAGACCACTTTAACTGTCGTGAGCCTACCCCCATAGACTCCCAGGATTTATAGTTTGGTGAGGTATGCAGCCTGGTCTGTCTGGTGCCTTAGCAAACTACAAATTCCACATTGAGGTCACCCTCCTCTCCTGTCCCTGAGAGCCAAAAGCAGATTGCATCAGTGAAGTGTGTCAGGTCCTTGGATTGCATTGTAGTTGCATCAGCCATCCGAAGGAGAAGTCAAACAAACCGTCACACATGGCTGAGACAAACAAAACCTGAATTATGGGGCAGGGCTCTTAAGTCTGGAACTGGCCCGACTAAGCCAGGTTTGGGGAGGCAAACCGGACTACTTGGGGTGAGGCCGCTGCCCGAAATAAGCCTCCGGGACGAGGCGGAGGTCCAAAATTGAGAGACAGGGAGGCTCTTTAGGATATTGCAAAGTTTCTTAAGACTACAGCTTTCATTTTATTCTCAGGGTGTGCACAAAAAGCAGTATTTATTGGCCATCTCTTGTGCAAGCAGTACCACAAGGGAAAGCAGAGCTCAGAAAAATTACTTCCCCTCTCCCAGATTACAGCTCCCAGAATCCCCCAAAAGCAGCAAAGGTTGCACTTCCCAGAATCCCCCTGCTAAATTCTTTCATGTCTTTTAAAGAGCTTGCAAACAGTTATTTTTGGACTCTCTCGTAGTCCCAAATACAGAACTTTTCCAACCTTTGGCTCTTTTGAAAGAAACCCAAAGCACTGTTATTTTGGAACCACACCATGGCAGCCGGATAGGTTGGGGGATTCTGGGTGCTGCAATCCAAAAAGAGCCATGCTCTTTCAGAACAGGCTCCATGCTCTCCTGGGGGATTCTGGGTGTTGACGCCCCTTTAACTGCCATGGTGCCATGCTTTAGAAATCTGGGATTTGTAGCTGTGCGAGCTAGATCCCTTTCTTTGTTAGAAAGACCACCACAAACTAGAAATTCCAGGATTTCACAGGATGGAGTCGTGGCAGTTACAGCGGTCTAAAACTGCATTCATTCTGCAAAGGCAGACAAACAGATGCCGCCA